GTTTAGGCTCAGAAAATCAGCAGCATGCTGGATGGCACAGAACTGTATGAATTTTGTAAAACATGTGGTCCTGATTTGTGCCCCCAAAGAGATCATGAATGGGAAAGATCACATTAATCGCTTCAAGTTCCAAATCCTCTGGAGACAATGAGTATTTCAGTAGTTGCTACAGTGTGACTCCTCCAAGGGTTGAGAGATGAATCCAGGTACAGTCAGTGGGACTGGTACTTTGGGGTCCAATTTTTGGAGAACAGGTGATCACTCTGAGAATGTGGGGTGTCAACACACTCACCTCACCCACAGTCCCCTACAACTTCAGCAGCCTGGACAAGCAGGCCTGGACCCCATAGAGGGGCGGTAGGGAGAGAGTCTTAAGAGTACTAAGAGCACCTGTTCTGTCTGTTACCTAACAAAATGGCCAGGACAAGCCCCTAATTGCTACCATTTTACAGACAGGAAAGCTGAGACTCGTAGCTCCAGAGACTTGCCCAAACCCACACAGAATGCGGAACCGACCTCCCACTCGGAACCCAAGTCTCCTGACTATGGTATGTGCAGAGAGCCCTGGGCCGCCTATCTATCCCCACACCAGGGTGCCTGGGAAAAATGCCCCTTACAAGCCAGGGTGTGCATTTCAATACTTAAAAAATTATCTTTAAGTCTTTTGAATGGCACTCTATTTTTAGTGTAAATCACACTGACATTAAAGTCCTTATTGTATATTTATTAGTGTGTTAGTCAGACCAAGGGGAAAAGAAAGAAGCTGACACTACGTATGACTTTGAAAGCGAGAAAAAGCTGGGGCTGAAATTAAATCATCGTGACACTGCCACTCGAGGGCATCCATTTCAATAAACGATCACCTTTCTTATTCCCCATCCCATTTATCAAGCAGGCGGCACTGAGGAGCACTCTGGCTGGGGATGATGGGAGGCTGAGGCCTCTGATTTCCTTACCTGGCTGGACTGGTGGGTTTTATACAGTTGCTAGGATGGTCCTTGTGGGACAGCAGAGGCTAACTGTCCTGTTTGCAAGATTGGGGGTGACTCAAGGAGCAGGAGTTGGGTGAAGCTGGCTTTCTACCAGGAAACTACCATTGCCTGTGGCCCTGTCTGTCCTGAGTGGCCAGTGGAGGTGGGGTCACTGGGGCTCAGGCGGAAGGGTGTCTCCACTGAGCATCAAACCAGGACCCAAACCATCCACATCGCTCTCTCTTTCGGTTAAATGACTCTGGCAGATCTCCCACTGGGGTTGTTGCTGGTTTCAATGTTGGGATCTTTGCTCAGAGCTGATGGGTTTACATAAACGTGGCCACCACCTGGTTATCCAGCATGGATTTACATTCTTTCCTGGAGGGAGAAGCTACAAATTTTAATCCAAGGGGAATGGGTCTGAGGATTTCTTGACACAGCTGTTTAGCCCTGAGGCAGACAGGAGAGACCCTGGGCTCCCTGTGCCAACCTGGAGCTGAGTCCAGGATTGGCCTTGACCTTCGTCCTATCACATCCTACCTCTAGGAGTCAGCTTCCCCCAGCAGCAAATCAATGAGGGAGCTGGAAATGGAGTGTCCTCGCAGTGTTGGGGTGAAGATCCTACAGAAAGGTGCAGCTTTGTTCCAGGAGAATCTTATTTCTTTGCCATCCTCTGGAATGAGCCTTGTTTGTGCAGTGAAATGGTCCTGACAGCTTATCTTGGCTCAAGCCCCAATATCACTAACTCCTCAGATTTAAAACATCTTTTCAAGTATTAGTAATTCAAATGATGGGCAACTTCTATCCCCTCAGGGCCTAATTCTTCCCTCCACACACTGTGTAGTTCTAGTCACACATAATAAAGTCCCCAGGTACCTGCAGTAGCAGGAGAAGCATGAGCGGGGAGGGGTAGGAGAGCTGGCAAGTGATGCCAGGAAGGAAGCCTGGAGCACCCCAACAGTCCAGTGCACCCCAGCCCCGGGGTTCTGGAGGGCACCACTGCACAGTGACAGCTGCTACCAGACTGCTCTTTCTGGAAGAGCCCTCAGCAGCGAGGCAGGAGGCATGGCAGGCAGAGTAGGAGCTGGCTGGTGAGCTAACGCGTCTTTTAATATCTCTGGACCCCAGTTTCAAACATCTGCCCAAACATGTGCTGTTGCTATTTTACTGTTTTTTCCTTACAAGGCTGGATGCTCCTTGAAAGCTGCACCCATGTCGTCCTCGGCAGTGTGCTCCCAGCCGCTTTTACAGGAGGCACTCAAACCAGGGTTGTTTAATGAGTGCGAGAGCGGAAAAGGATCTAGCATTTATGAGATGCCTACTTAAAGGTGGGCACCAGGTGAGCCATTTTCCTTACGCCATTTCACAAGTCACCGTTAATTAAATAGGTATTACCGCATTTGTTTCGTTCACGGGATTGTTGTGGTCTCTAATTTGCAGCTAAGGCGGTCCGTGTCTGCTTAATCCTGCAGCCAACAAGAGCCTGGCTGGTTTCTCTGCTTGCTCGCTGCTGTGGCCATTCTGTTAGGCAGCAGAGCAGGCTGGGCCGCCCTTGTTGCCTGTGCCCTGAGAAGTCCTGCCAGACCAGGCCACCTGGGCTCAGGCACTGTGACCCATCAAACCTCACGCTCGCCACTGCTTCCTGGGGAATGGCAGCTTAGATTCTCCAGCAGCCTCCCAACTCCAGCGCCCCGAGCAGGCTTTTGTGCCACCATCCTCCTGACTCTGCAGCGCTCATGACTCCACAGCTTTCAGGGGACTTGGTCGCCTCTGGCTTGTCATTCCTCAGCCCACTCTACTGAGTCAGGCTCTCTCCAGCCGACTTTGTTATGACAACTACCTCCCTTGTTATTGCAAACACTGTGCTCTGTTTTCCAAATAGCAGTCCCCAAACCACCATGTTCTATGCTGAGAGGAAGCCAGCCCCATTTATAACCATCACAGTCATCAGCACCAGGATGTCACTGCAACCCTGCATCTCACAGCTGAATGCAGTGCTCTAGGGATCATCTCACATATTAAGGGGGTGAGCCAAATCCACAGTGACTCAACTGTTGAGGATCTCAAAACCACAGGGCTCTTGAGACTGACGGGCACCCCAAAATCAGAAAGCAGATGAGTAGCAATCCTTTGTGACCCCAAACGCTGAGCAGAGAAGGACAGAGTTAGGTGTGAGACAACGGCCTCTTCCACTTGTGTCTTGTTTAGTGTGTGCAAAGCTCTTTATTGTACTGGGTTTTGCACACACTGTCCATAGTACCACATGGGCAGAGCTGGTATCAACATCCCATTTTAGAGATGGAAATATCACCCCCACCCACAGAGGCTCAGGAGGGTATGATATCTGCCTGAAGTCATGAGGTTCATTCATGAAGAGCCGTTGGTAAAGGATCAAATCTTTAGAATCCCTCTTTAGTTCAAACAGATAGGAAGTTCTCAATAAATGACTATGCATTGACTGTGATTGGATGGAAATTGGGACTTAAATGTGATTGACACTATTACAATGCTTCTGCTGCACTACTGTGGCCTTTGAGCAATGGGTACAAATAACCAAAGAGCCTGGCTGGTTAGGTTCAGTCCCTTCCACCCTTTGTGCCCCCAAATGGGTCTAGCTGTTCACCTTGAGCACGTTTTTTGAGCAGAAGTCAGAATACACAAGCCACGGAGGTGAGGGAAGCACCTATAGAGTGGCCTATGCCACCCCAGCCCCCACGGATGGGTGGCTTCACAGGAAAGGGAGCTCAGGCTAGAGGGAGAAGGCTTGGTCCCAGAGGACAACCCAATCTAAAGGGTGGGCAGCCCAGACATCTGCAACATTCCTAATTTCTTGAGAACAGAGCAAGAGGCACTTGGAGACTTAGGTGTCTCCCAACAAGCCCAAAGAGGCATCTCACAGGCAAGAACATAGAAATTTAGGTTTGGGGAGAGCATGCTTCTTACAGCTGAGATTTCTTCCTGCTGGAAACGTAGCAGTGAGACACACAACACAACATACCAACCACTAAGTGAGCAGAGCCTGTAGCAATACAGTGGGGTCAGGAGCAAGAATGTGGGGGTGGAGAGTGGGCAGAAATTACCAAGGAGGCCATAAGCTTTATGGGAAAAGCAACAGACAGGTTCTCTCCCAACTCCCCCTTAGCACACCATGAGACTGAGTACCATCATCAGGTGGGACTCTTTCGAAAGGCATTTATTTTTTTAAGAGGAAGTCGAAGCTTGGCTAGAAATTGACGGCTTTCTCCTGCAAGTGTGTCACAAAGAAAGAACTTTCACCTCTGTCGATTATAAAGCAATCAGGCTGGGGTCCCTCATAACTAAAGTCTGATGATGATATTTATGACTGTGGAATGAGAAAAAAAGAGCAGCCACTGAGATATTCTGGTTTAAGTTCGCTTCCCAATGTCACTACTGCTAGAGGACTGATAACTGAGCAAGGAAGCAAGTATCTCCTAGAGGCTTAGTGGTGTTCACTGACACAGGGATTAGGTGTGACTTCAGTGCCATCTAAGTCTTAGAGGTTCCAGAACAAAGTTCTTTCCCAGACTCTACTGAACTGATCCTGGTGTAGTATCCCTGTCCACTACAGCACTCTGCCCAACAGCCCCTGCAGGGCCTGTGTAGATGGCCAAGCAGCCTGCCCTTCCCTTTCCTGTCCAAGTTCTGCTGGTAAAACTCACTTTGCAGCATAAGTAACTTTCATTTTGGCCATACTGACCTTGGCTGTTTTCTTCTTGGCTCCAAATGGAATTTGGGAAAGGAATGTGTTTAACACCCACTCATTAAATGCCCACTCCACCAGCTGGTCCTCTGGCCTCTGGAAGGACTGCCAGCCCAGGTGGCCAGAGGGCCCCAGAGGTGAGAGCCCAAGATACAACACAGGGAATATTAGCAATAATGGTCCAATCTGGACCCTTCTCACTAATGGACAATTTTAAGATTTAAGTAGATGTCACAGACTCTGGAAATTTGCAGCTGGGAGCCAAATGGCCTTTTATGTGATCATTTTGGGCACAGGGAGAGACTTACCCGTACTTCCCCGGAGTGGGCACCAGGAGGATCTCTCTTCCAGCCTCGTTGTGGGGCAGCAGCTGGGCGACATACCTGCCGGAGGGCTGCAGGTGTCTGTGCACCGACACGGCCAGCTTGCAGTGCTCGCTGCTGCTCCTCATCCACGGGCTCAGGATGGTGTGCTTGGAGTTTGCAGATGTATTGAGGAGGAGGAAGGAACCTGCAGAGACAGGGAAAGTGAGTCTGTAGATGCGTCCAGACGAGAGGGCCAGCAGCAGCTCTGCGGCAGGAAGTAGGGTCAATGGCATCGAGCCAGTGATGCTGGAGTGGAGGCCCTTCTCGCCTCTGCCCCATCCAGCCCCTTCTCTCGGATTCTCTTTATAAGTAATGTCCCCCTTGGCCCTCCCTGGTAATGCAATGGGTTAGGACCCAGCACTGCAGGCGAGCCACAGTGGCTTCAATGCGAGTTCGATCCCCGGCCCCGGAGGTGGTCCACATGGCGCCGCAGACCTCTCCTCTCTCATCCGCTGCTCCCCTCAGCAGTGCACATCGTCAATCTGCCTGTTCTGCTCTCCACTGTGTCTTTGGTGAATCCTCTCACTACCCTCTGTCCATGCCCCTCTGGCCGGTACCCCAGTTCTGTAAGCATAATTAAGCAAATCTTTTTTTAAAATGCCCCCTGAAGCAAGAGAATAGTGATTGGACACTTGGGTTTTGTAATCAGGTGGATCAAGGTTCTCATGTTAACCCTCTTACTTACTGACTATAGCCTGGGTTCCCCATGTGTAAAATGAAAATCAAAGTATCTATTTTAAAAGTGCCTGGGAGGATTATGTGAGGAAAGTATGGAAAGACTTTATACCATTGTAGGCAGAGGAAGTAGCCTATTAAATCATCAACTGTTTTATTCTGACTGGCTTCTAAGTTAAAGTAGGAAGGACAGCTGTCAGTTTCTTTGCCAGGCAACAGACACAACAAATAAAAACCCATAAAAAACAAGGAGTTAAGAGGGGTATAAGCTAACCCCAACCAGTGATCAGAGATAGAAAACAAATCCACGTGCTAAGACATTCTTACAGGTGTGCAACTGGTCTGAGTGGCCAAGAGTCACGCCCTCCTGACTGTGCCCAGTGGCTCAGGATGTCAGCACCCAGGTAAACAGTTGGGTTGGCAGTTCTCTATAGGTTACAGTGTAAATCTGAGCTGGCCTGAGCTTTTCATATCACACTCAATCCAACTTGGAACTCTACGGCTCTTGAAACAACTCGGTTTCCCAGGAATGTATGGCTGGCACTGGCCTCTCAATAGTTAGGGCCAGTTCAAGATTTTCCTTGAGAGGTGGGGGGTTTGGAGAAGTATCACTTGGGTCACATTTTGTTACAATTAATAACATAGCTTCTGCTCCTTTGCTTATTAATTCACTGAATGTGGGCAACGCAATAGCTTACTCAGGTTTCTGTTTCGCCATTTATATTATGGGGTGAGAAGGATTGGCTGAACTCAACAATCTCTTAAGATCCATTTCAGTTCTTGAGTCTATGAGTCATTTGTAACTGGTGTCCACAAGGGCCCTACAGATTGTGACTGGTGCCGTGCCTATGGCAGAGATTCCCCCTGGGGCAAGCCAACCCTTGGCACAGGCCAAGTGACCTACAAGAAAACTGTATTCACAGGGATTACTGTTAACATAGAAGCACAGCACCATCTGATTGTTCCAGGCATTCCTTCTAATGCAATCATTTTACTTGCCACACTTCTGCATCAAGGTTTTGGGGTATTAGATGCTACTCTTTTGCAGTGGAAGTCTATTTCAGCAAGACCCCCGACATCTCCAGCAAGAATAAGCTAATGAGTGCTCAGCCTTCCTAAACCACCCCAGCATTTCGATTTAGTCTCCTCCTGCAGACAACCCAATTTGCCAAGTAGGTAAATGAACCAGCAGCCTGCAGTAAAGCATGATGCAAATGAAAGACGGGACTTCCCACTAGAAGCAAAGTATTTTCCGAGGAGAAGGGATCAGGTCATTAGAGATTTGCAACACTCTGGAGTCAATAAATGTGACTTCTGGCTACAAAGAGAATTGAGGTCAGCACAAAACTGCTACTGAGATGGATCAGGGAGGGGGGTCAGTACTGGGAACTGAATCCTCTGTAACTGCTGGCAAGGTTCAGCAAGGCATGAGGGCATTTGAAAAGTGCGCTACACTCTTCAGTAAACAATCTGTGTTATTACCCTGTTTTATGACAATAGGGGAGAAGTTCCATTCTTGCTTGGGCATAAGAGAAAGGCACAAGAACAAGAGACTCAGGAAGAATGTTAAAATCATCTAATACAATGTCTTCACTTTCCTGGAGAAGCACACTGGAGGTCAGCCTGGGGAATGACTTGTGCAAGTCTTAGTCTGACTAGACTCATGATCTCTGGACTCCTAACCAATGTTACTTCCTTATATCTTTATCCTTACCCCACTGCATTCTTTATCCTATATATGATCAGAGTTCCTCACTGGTCAGCAGGATGGGAAGGGAGAGACACAGGTGCTGGGTACTGGGCCAAATTCATTTGTTCACTGGCTTCCTTACCCACTCAAATTTTTGTCCTCAAATTTCATTTACTGGACACCGATGTTGAGGAAATATCCAAGCACGGACTCTGGCCTGAGGACACAGACATGAACCAGAAACAGTTCTGCTCTTTAAGGACCTCCAGGAGATGAGATGTTGGCAACAACTATAATCAGCAGGAGCAACTATATATCATTAGACACACATACAAGTAAAGTACATAAGGCCCATATAGGTAAAGCACTTCGGAAGGCTCCAGGAAGGTGGCATTAGCTTCAGGTGGACGGATTCACACAGGCGATGGCCTGTGGGCTAGATCCTAAAGGGAGACAAAAACACTGCCCAGCAGAATGGGCAGTGCAGGGCTGAAAGGAAGAGGGGTAAAGACATAGAGGAACGAAGTGTGTGCTGTGACTGCAGAGCAGGTACACCAAGAGGCGTCTGGGAAGGCGGCGGATTGGCTCGTTAGATGTGGGACTAGGCCATGCGGCCATTTCATTCCTTGCTGAAGAATTTTGACTTTATTTCACGAACAACAGAGAGTTAGAAAGGGATTCTCAGCAGGACAGCAGCAGCACTGAGAGGGTCTTCGGGAGGAGCACCTGTTAGCTGGGGAAAGGGCTTACAGTTACGACTATGTGCAATGACCATGTGTTTAGTATGTTACTATGAACAAAGGAGCCAAGTTGAGGGAAGGAACCTGAGATCTTGGGGTGCCCATACCAGATCAGCATGCATCTGTTGAGAGCAGGTGGAAACCTAGAAGCATCTCTGGGGCAGAGTCTTAGCCCAGGTAGTCTGGGGTGTGGTCAGGATGAAGCGACATGTCGCTCTAAGGGAAAGACAAGTGTGCCCTGGTGGAGACACTAGTCTGAGGCTTTCAAGTTCTGGTAAAGTTGGGCTGAAATCAGCAGCTTTTGGAGTTACTGAAAGAAGATGGGCAAAATAAATCTCAGAAAGCTGACACATACCTGGGAAACCCAAATCTCCAGCAGAGAAGAAAACCAAGCTGAAGGCTGTGGGGGTTGGGAATTCTTTCTGCACCTATGTTCCTCCTTCCTGGGTGTGGAAACATGTGAATTCTGTTCCCTGCAACTCCGTGCCTCAAAAATGGGATGCTTTGAAAGCTGACTGGAAGATGGATTATCTTCCCAGTTCTAATATGTGAGATGATGTTTATATGAATTTTATTTTGTGCAACTGGACTATCAATAAGAGACCAGGCTTAAAGTATTTTCACTCTCAATGAAACTCTATAGTTGAAAGCTATCTCTTTATCAGCAGCTTTCCTCTACCCAAAAAAGAAAGAAAGAAAAGAAAAAGGAAAAAATACATTTCATAAGCTCCTTGGGATATTGTTGGTATAAATCTTTTAAAGTCATAGAGAATTTATCTCTTCTCTCCCTCTTTTCTGTTTCCTGTTTATTTTGCTCAGAATAGCTTGGGGCTGTGTGAAGGCTCCTGGGGTCCTTTCTAATTAAGAAGGATGGCCTGGAAGTTCACATATCTTCCCCCAGTGCGGGCCTTGGGGAGGTGTAGAAGCAGACTTACGGCCAGCTTACACGATGGCAGAATCATGTTTTCCCTATTACTGGGTTGCGTTGATATATTTGGTGATTAAATATGAAATGCTTATTATATTTAGCTCTGGTCATCAGTACAGGGCAGGGTTGCTTTTATCTGAGGTCAAGTTATGGGCCAGAAACCAAAGGCATGAAACTTAATGTTGGAAAGACTCATTCTAATCAGGCTTCCTCTCAATTTCAGTTCTAGAATTAGACTAATTATTAAAATGTTTTCATTTGGGCTCAGCCTATCTCAGATGGCTGTTGTGGAGATTCAATTAAGTAATAGTAGCCACAACAGTGCCTGACCCATGGCTGGGTGTGAGAAATGTTGGTTTCCTGCTTCAAGGGGTGTCTTCCTCTGGAGCGCCTTTGATCTATAGCTAAACTTGAACAGGCAGGACTGAACTTGAGCCCTAGCTCTGCAGATACCAAGCTTCCTTTGTTTATAAAAGGAAAAGGTTGGTTAGAGTCTCTCTAAGGACCTTTATAACTCCAAACTGTCAGTAATTCTATCTGCCTGCCTAGAATTTTATCAACCTAAAAGAACCATGTCAAGTCTCTAAGCTCCCAAGTTTTAAAGACTTCTTCCCTCAATTTACCTCTCTGAGGGTTCTATACCAACAGTTTCTTTTTTTATACCAACAGTTTCAATCAATTGGTCAAAACTTCTTGAACTCTACCTGCTGAGCAGTGAACTATGATTCCCTGCTCTGCTTCCTCACTTCCAATTTACACTAACACAGCCCGGGAAGACTAATGTCTTAGCATCACATTTCTGAAGATGTTTCTTCTATAAGGCTGGGACCATCTCTAAATGTCTAGTATTGAACACAGTGCTTGCCAGACAGCATGTACTCGATGACTTATAAAAATCAAAGTAATTATACCCAAGGGAAAGAGTCCAATATTCACAATAGCTCCTAATACTCTTTAAATTGAGGTAACAGTGGTTTACACCACTGTATATGATTCAAAGATACAGGATCACGCCTCTTCAGATGTATGTGACTCACCAACCTAGCACTCACAACACTCTACCGTAGTCCATCCATTGGGTTTTCCCTCTACCCTATCCTCCCCCTCTATCC